AATAATGAAAATCGGTAAAGGAAAAGTAGGATTAAGAAAAGGGAAATGACTATCGAAATAATAAAATACATAAAGAATAGATGGAAGAAAGAGGTAGAAAAGAAGGTGAACAAAGCAATGACATTTGAATATAATATTTTAAATAAATAAGTTATAATCAATTTAAAATAAAATTTTATGAACCTAACTGAAAAGAAAGGTTATAATTGCAACTTTTACATTATAAAAATTACAACCATGTCGATTAGTTTGCTATATTTACTACAAATAAATTGTAATTAATAAAAACTAATTGCTATTAAAAGTAATTCAAATTAATAAAACTTAAAGCTAGAAAGAGAGAAAAAGCAAAAGAGTATTATGATGATGAATATTTTGCAAGTTGCTTAAGAAAAAAAAAATGAAAAGAAATGAAATGAAAGGAAAATAATTGTTGAGAGGAAGTAGAAATGGGATCAATTTTGAATACTGAAAAAGAAGAAAAAAAAAAATTGTTATAAAGAAGAAAGGAATGATAGATATTAAGATCAGTGATAGAAACTGATTATCTTATCAGTAACTGACTGTATGAAAATTCATTTCGAAATGTCAATATAACTGAGTTATTATTTCGATACGTTGCCATTTTCATATGAATGCAATATTACTTTTAAAAATGATGATAAGATATAATTCAAAGGAAAAAAACTATCGTAGAAAGTGACAAAAAACATTTTAAAATTAGAAAATTTCAGTTTGAAAATTAGATGAGCGGAAAATTAGATAAAAATATCTTACATATTCTAAGTGTGATTATTAAATTCTTCCATTCTAATGCTTTTTTCTTTTAATTATTGCATTATGTAAAAAAAAAAAACTTAGAATTTTTTTTTTTGGATTTACAATTAATTGCAATTTTTTTTGAATTTGAATCCTTTCTCTACTAGGAACTTTTTTTTTTTTTCATTTGGAATCATTTGCATAGTATCAAATATTCTATTAAAGGAAATATTGTGACATAGTTTCTCATACATATACTAAATTAAAATGACCTCACTGACCTAGCTTTGACCAAAGATTAAAGATTAGAAAAAAAATGTTTGAAACATCAAACATTCACGAATCTTTCAATTATAATGCATTTACCTGTGATAATCGTAATGTAAAGATAAATTCGAGATAGTATGAATTAATAAAAAAGACGAAAGAAGGATTCAGGTAAGCAACGATGAATCATAGGGAAAGATCGATGATCGATCATTAATGCATGTTTGATGTTTTGGAAGCAGCGAAAACTTATGGAATGCTTCGAGCTGCCATTGCTGGCTGAGTGGTTGAATTCTTTGTTCTGCGAAATGTATGGTTCATACATAGTTAGAGAAGCATTAAATCAAACCAAAATTAAGGAAGGAATTAGATGGAAGGAAATTATCATTATTTATTACCATTATCGTTATTATTATTTATTACTATTATCATTATCATTATTATTTTTATTGTTATTATTATTATTATTATTATTATTATTATTATTATTATTATTATTATTATTATTATTATTATTATTGTTATTGCTATTATTATTATTATTTGTTATTACTATTTATTGTATTATTTATTTATTTTAGTTTTTTTTTTTTATATTGGTTTTATTTTTTTATATTGGTTTTATTGGTTTATTATTACTATTACTATCATGATTATTGTTGTCATCATCATAATTGTTGATATTTTCATTATTATTATTCTTACTGTTGTATTATTAATCATTATTATAACCATTATTAATTAAGAAATGACTACTCCGCCGATCAAAGTCAGCGAAGATATTTACAATAATTTCACTAATTTATGATCTGTAGGAGTATAATGATGAATCACCATGTTGAAATATTTGTGGGCCAGCAGCATGACAAGATAAATAAATGTTGTCACACTTGAGATTAATCAATCGATAGATCAATTAATCAGGAATGATAGTAAATGAGATAATTTAATCATGATTAAAATAAAGGTTTTATTTTATTGCTTTCAATAAAAGACTTATGATCATCTACTAGAAAAGAAAAAAATATTATCAATGCAAATAAAGTGAGGAAAAAAACGGCAGAATGAATTATTTCCAGGTGGATGACAATATTTTCCGTTTCAGCTTAATTTGATTCTTAGCAAAAAGAAATGAATAATTTTTAAAGAGAAAGAAAATTAATAATATTGAAGCATTTAACCTTGGAAAAAAAAAACTTACATTTAATATTTTTTGTAGAATTTTAAATAAATTTGGTTATATTATCAATGCTATGATAGAAATATCTTTGAAACGAAAATTCTAAAAATTATCAAAGTTAATTGTTTACTTAAATGAAATATATGCTAAAATATAAATAAAGAAAGAAGGATCGAAAGATGATGAATTGTAGAAGAATGTTTTTATGATAGCGAATAGTATGTTAACAGTCGAAGGTAGATGATCCGATTATTTATGATAACAAGGAAAAAGACAGAGGCAAAAGCATTCGCTTACCTTGCTGACCTCTAACCTCTAAAAGGTCATATTTAAAATACAATTCAACATTGCTTAGATTGAATTTCTTCAGCAAAATCAATTTTCTAGGAGTAAAAAATTATGGAATAAAGAAAAAAAAAAGAGACATATGTTAGTTTGAGAAATAAAATTTGAACTATTCAGTTGTTTGTGCAACGAATCAAATTGTTACATTTAAAATAACAAGCAAATACTTCTTAAAGTGATTCCTTCCATTTTGTCTGTGATTGTTTAAGATTGCTTCTTTGATAATAATTTGAAATAAAAGAGAAAAAAAAATTTTTTTTCACGTGCTTTTATCATCGTTAGCTGCAAAAATAAATGAAATATTAATGTTATATTGTAAATGTTAGATTCAACAAAATTAATTTAATACAAAATAATTAATTTATAAATAAATAAAGCGCTGAAATTTTCCAAAATTTTTTAATATTTTTGCGATTTTTTTACCGTTTTGATGAATTATCAATAAATAAATAAAATTATTTCTTTGCAGATTTCATAGCTGAATACTAAACTTTTAATAATCTTCCAAACTGATGATCCTTTATACTATTCCCTTTCATAAAACAGAAAATTCTTGAAACGATGAAAGTAAAACAAAAAAAAAAAAATAAAATTAACAAAATTATTTTAAAATATAATTTTGAAACTGATAAAAAGATTTGTATCGAAAATAAATACACCTGTAATTATAGGAAATTTTTAGCACTGTCTTAAAACCTAAAACATTCTGCGTCACAGAAGAAATTAGATGAATTCCAATGGAAATATTCGTCATTTCTCAAATTAGAAAAGGAAAACAAATATATTTTGAAATGGAATTTTCAAACAAAAAATGATTTTAAAAACTTTGATCACAAGGAAAAGAGTTTACTTACTAATGTGCTAGTAAATATTCCGATAGTAATTATAATAAAAAAAGTTATGGATTAATTGAATTCTATTATTTGGCTGATTTATTTGCATACTCTAATGCTTACACTGTCCAATTATGTTTTCATGATAGTACTAATATAAATACGTTTAGTATTCCGGAAACCGGTAATGTTTATTATTTCAGTAACATGTTATGTTGTGAAGAATATTTCATGAAATATTTCTTTCTATCATTCCTTGGCATTTCTATAACAGAAACTTAATGAATGACACTGATTTGAAAAATCAATTGGTCACTATTTCAGAATGGACCGAACAATAGCCATTATTCATCATTCAACTTTTATCATCCCATGAACTGTCTCAATTTTATCATTTTTTTATCAGACTGATTTTTCACTTTTCATCGTCAAAATGCAAGGATAACTTTTGACATAAATTGGATATTAATCAGTGGTTCTCTATATGTCAGAACCTGCAAGATTATAATGGAAACTTCAATAAATTAATTTCAATTTACATTTGCTTAAAAATTGGCCATTTTTTGGCTAATAAATCTTTTCAACATTCTTTAGAAGAAAAAGTTGTAGAAGTAGGCCTAAAGTAAGTTAACTTAAGATTTAAGAGAATCGGAAAAAGCTTTTAGCCATAAAAGAAATCAGTCCAATAGAATTAATATCCATAAAAATTATTCACTTAAATGAATAATTTTTGTATTTAATTTTCAATTTGGCCTTGCAACGAAACCTTTGGTCAAATCATTTCAGTCATTTTTCCATGTGATTTCAATCAAAGTACACTTCCACTTTCGTTCCTCCTTCACATTACTTTCAGATATAAAATCATGAGACTATTTGAAATTTCAGTGGAAAACATTTTCATCAATAAAATTATCTGTGACCGAAGATTCCGAATATTCAGCATGTAACACGGAAAACCACAAAACCGGAAACTTTCTGGCAGAAAGTTTTTTACAATAATAATTATTTAGAAATCAGTAATACCAGGAAATTCTAACACCAAGAAATGTCAAACTTAAGAATAACATCAGAAATACGAAAAAGGAAACGGATGAAATTTGTTATGCACTTAATAAACATTACTCATTCACACACACACACAATTAACCTTTATAATGATTGAAAATTTTTGTAAAAAACAAAAAATACCTCATCTACGATGATTTATTCCAGTCGAAATTCAAATTTCATTTCCATGTCAGTTTGTCAAATTCACTTTTGAAATGTTATGTAAATGCAATCAAATGTCCTTATCAAATGTGGATGAGTTTAACAGACAATGTCCTTATCCTTATCACTGCTTACTAATTGCTTATCCTTATCACTCCTTACTTTTAGCTTATGATACTAGCACACATTATTATCACCCACAGCTCTAGTCCATCTGCTTTGCTTTGATAACTGTTATGGTAGTCAGTCATGAATGCACTGCGGAAAATAGGAATTTTCTTGCGGAATTACTGGAATGTTAGACGAATATAATCATAACATATTTGCTATAAAAATGAAAAATTTATTGATCTATCATTATACAATATGATAATCAATGATAAGTTGATAAGGATCAAATTTATTGACTATTGAAATTTGGTGTCACATTGGAGAGGAGGTAACAAACTACGGTAAATAATGAGTAAAGATATGAATACAACAAGTACAATCCAGTATCGTAGTTCCACAGACCATTCCATATCGGTATACTTCGATTCCGATCCACCCTCATACATAGCTTTATAACTGACCGGTGGCTTTATATCGTCCATGTCATCATCATCCGGTAACATTGATTCCTGAAACTTTCCACCAATAATGATCAGTTCTTTCCCTAACAAAAAGTGTTAATCAAATTCTGAAAAAGAGAAACTCCTCCACACTTCCTCTCATCAATAAAATTCATTAATCTACAGTTATTCAATTTGCCATTTTCAAATATTCATACTATCATTTGCATATTTCAAATCTTCAAAGCAGGCAATGGTCGTAAATGTAATCGATATGCTATCAATTCCACTGCAATAAATTTATTTTATGTATGACTCACAAGCACTGATTACCATTTGTAGTGTACATTAAGCGCCGTTATCGTGTGGACTGGTAAAGGCGGTTGTGATGACAATTCGGCAATAGGTGCCAAAACATCCATCGTTCACGCTTTTTTAATCTTATCTTTTCACTCATTACCTATTTTACTCAAAAAATGAAATCTCTTTCTCATCTTTTTCCTATCCTTCATTTTTTCATTCTTAAAACTACATGCTAATTTTTCGAATAATTTAAATTATTTTACTTATCACAAGCAATTATTATTATTTGTCTGAAAAAAAAAAATAATGTAAAGTAAAAACTTTTGTTTAAAAAATAAAATAAAATAAAGCAAGTTAGTTTCACTATGTTCGCTGATTGATTCTGGAAAATTTACATGAAATATTCCACCGATAGTATAAATAAAACAGAGCTATGATTTGCTTCATTTGTACTACAATCGTTGACGCTGTTGGGCTGCCTTTAAATTGGTATGTCCGGTGAGATATTTTTTGACTTCGGCGTGAAACCAGTTAAGAAACGGAAAAGTCAAGTACGTGAAAATCAGGTGGGTTTTTTCTCGATATTTCTTTAGTTTTCATTTATTATTAAAGCATTCAATTGCATATGGTAATTAAATTTTTATTAAAAAGATTCAATGATGAGTTATAGGTGGAATCAACGGAGAATGAGGAAGAAAATGAAAATTCGGAAGTTAGAGGTGGAAGGGAAAAAAATCACATTTGGAAACGTACCGATTATACAAAAGCTAGTGCTGTATGTCTCCGTTATTTGTAATTTCAATCTAAAATAAAAGCTTTTCAATATAATAAACCTAAAATGATTCAAATTGTAAGTTGCGTTATTGAAAAAACTTTTTAATTTTACGTAAAATTTAGGTGGATGCAATGGGTCTTTACAGCGGCGGTAAACAAAATGAAAGTGACAATTCGGCAACGCGAAGGAAACTTCGTTTATGTATGCTAGAAGTTGAACTTTCAACTAATCCTTACTTTATATTTTTTAGCTTTATTTGCGTAATGTTGTACAATTATCAATGGTCAAGTGAGCAAATGATACTAAATAGGTGACAATCCTGCAGGTGACAAAAGTTTGGCAAAAGTCTAAGATTTCTCGAGTAAATTCTTCTCCACCATTGATGATTTCTTCATTCGGTTTAACTATATATATATTCCATTTATTCAAATTTTAGTGCGTAAACCGAGAAGGAAATCGAAACATCGGCAAAGAATTCACGGAAAAGTACTCAAATATTTTGTTTACTAAATGACATAATGCTACATTCTTTAAACAAAAATAATAATAATCGTTTACAAAAAAATAAATAAATAACATATAGTTTCAGGAAAGAAAAGATGAGAAACAGAAGAAAGATGAGGAAGAGATTATTTCATTGTCAAGTGAAATAAGTAAGAGTGAAAAGGATGAAAAAGAACGGAAAAAGCGAAAAAAAAGAAAAAAGAAACGTTCGGATGAGTTAACTACTAACGGTCGCGAAATTGACAGGAAAGGTCGAATCCTGAAAACGAAGAAGAAACGTCGACCGTTCAGGCCAAAAGATAACGATGATGAGGATGATACTGGATTAGAAAAGCGAGCAGTGACTATTTCGGCACCTGCTGTCCATTCATCGTCACAACCGCGCCCACCGGTACACGTGGAGGAAAACACGAAGACGGCGCTCTGTGCACCATCAATGGTAATTGGTATTTGTGAGTCACATGGCAAATTGAATAACTGTAGATTAACGAATTTTATTGATGAGAGGAAGTGTGGAGGAGTTTCTCTTTTTCAGAATTTGATTAACACTTTTTGTTAGGGAAAGAACTGATCATTATTGGTGGAAAGTTTCAGGAATCAATGTTACCGGATGATGATGACATGGACGATATAAAGCCACCGGTCAGTTATAAAGCTATGTATGAGGGTGGATCGGAATCGAAGTATACCGATATGGAATGGTCTGTGGAACTACGATACTGGATTGTACTTGTTGTATTCATATCTTTACTCATTATTTACCGTAGTTTGTTACCTCCTCTCCAATGTGACACCAAATTTCAATAGTCAATAAATTTGATCCTTATCAACTTATCATTGATTATCATATTGTATAATGATAGATCAATAAATTTTTCATTCTTATAGCAAATATGTTATGGCGTAGGAATATGTTATATTCGTCTAACATTCCAGTAATTCCGGCAAGAAAATTCCTATTTTCCGCGGTGCATTCATGACTGACTACCATAACAGTTATCAAAGCAAAGTAGATGGACTAGAGCTGTGGGTGATAATAATGTGTGCTAGTATCATAAGCTAAAAGTAAGGAGTGATAAGGATAAGCAATTAGTAAGCAGTGATAAGGATAAGGACATTGTCTGTTAAACTCATCCACATTTGATAAGGACATTTGATTGCATTTACATAACATTTCAAAAGTGAATTTGACAAACTGAAATGGAAATGAAATTTGAATTTCGACTGGAATAAATCATCGTAGATGAGGTATTTTTTGGTTTTTACAAAAATTTTCAATTATAAAGGTTAATTGTGTGTGTGTGTGTGTGTGTGTGTGTGTGTGTGAATGAGTAATGTTTATTAAGTGCATAACAAATTTCATCCGTTTCCTTTTTCGTATTTCTGATGTTATTCTTAAGTTTGACATTTCTTGGTGTTAGAATTTCCTGGTATTACTGATTTCTAAATAGTTATTATTGTAAAAAACTTTCTGCCAGAAAGTTTCCGGTTTTGTGGTTTTCCGTGTTACATGCTGAATATTCGGAATCTTCGGTCACAGATAATTTTATTGATGAAAATGTTTTCCACTGAAATTTCAAATCGTCTCATGATTTTATATCTGAAAGTAATATGAAGGAGGGACGAAAGTGGAAGTGTACTTTGTTTGATTGAAATCACATCGAAAAATGACTGAAATGATTTGACCAAAGGTTTCGTTGCAAGGCCAAATTGAAAATTAAATGCAAAAATTATTCATTTAAGTGAATAATTTTTATGGATATTAATTCTATTGGACTGATTTCTTTTATGGCTAAAAGCTTTTTCCGATTCTCTTAAATCTTAAGTTAACTTACTTTAGGCCTACTTCTACAATTTTTTCTTCTAAAGAATGTTGAAAAGATTTATTAGCCAAAAAATGGCCAATTTTTAAGCAAATGTAAATTGAAATTAATTTATTGAAGTTTCCATTATAATCTTGCAGGTTCTGACATATAGAGAACCACTGATTAATATCCAATTTATGTCAAAAGTTATCCTTGCATTTTGACGATGAAAAGTGAAAAATCAGTCTGATAAAAAAATGATAAAATTGAGACAGTTTATGGGATGATAAAAGTTGAATGATGAATAATGGCTATTGTTCGGTCCATTCTGAAATAGTGACCAATTGATTTTTCAAATCAGTGTCATTCATTAAGTTTCTGTCGTAGAAATGCCAAGGAATGATAGAAAGAAATATTTCAAGAAATATTCTTCACAACATAACATGTTACTGAAATAATAAACATTACCGGTTTCCGGAATACTAAACGTATTTATATTAGTACTATCATGAAAACATAATTGGACAGTGTGAGCATTAGAGTATGCAAATAAATCAGCCAAATAATAGAATTCAATTAATCCATCAACTTTTTTTATTATAATTACTATCGGAATATTTACTAGCACATTAATAAGTAAACTCTTTTCCTTGTGATCAAAGTTTTTAAAATCATTTTTTGTTTGAAAATTCCACTTCAAAATATATTTGTTTTCCTTTTCTCAAAGTCGAATTTCTTTCATTTCTATTTCTCATTCCGTATAAAAAGGATGAAAAAGCCTTTTTAAGAAAATAATTCATTGGCTAATTTATTAATTTGATATCTGTCAGAAATGTTTGCTTTCAGTAACTTTCATCAATGTCGCAGAATTTTAATATTCGGAAATAAGCTGAACTACCACACCTCTTGTTCAGATATATATCTGTTTCAGTTTGGGTTAAAAATTTTGAAAATTTAACATTTTCAACCACTGCAAGATAAAACAATTAAATTTAAATAATGTTATTCTTTTAGACGAACATTTAAAAATTTTGTCTCTGGTAAAAAATTAATTAATTGATATATATATGTGATTTATCATTTTTAAAATAATTGTTTACTGTGATTTGAACATTTAAATGTGTACTCTTAACAAATTTCCATCATTCATTCTTTCTTTTTAGAAAAGTTGTTGAAGTGGACATTTTCATTGTTTACTTTCGTCATTTTTCAAAATTTCGATTTTTTTATGGATTTGAATTCTTCTCATTTTTTTTCATTTTTTGTGAAATTTTAACTAAATATTCAAACCATTTTCTTTTGCCTTTGGGCGTAATATTTTCTCATTTAAAATTCTCAATGAAATATTATAAATGAAAGTGATAATAATTAGCAAAGAAAATCAAATATTGTTTCATTTTTTTTTTCATTCTAATGTTTAGTTGTCCCATTTTTTAAACTTTTATTAGCTGAAACTTCATTAATTAATAATTTAAATAATTTTGAGCATTTTGATTCTAATATTAAAAATGTTTTTATAAGACTGACAAGCGATACAGCTGATATATTTCTTTTTTTTGTACTGGAAATGAAATTAATTTTAATCACTGATAAGCTAAAAATTTAAAAAGTGAAATATGGAATGCTTTAGGGAAAGTGAAAAATTTATAGCAAATGTTTATATAGAAGTTTTATTC